GTTTTCTGCATCTTGCCCTCCGGTTTACTGTTATTAATCATTACTCATACTTTTTGTCGATTTTATCTGCTATTTGCACCCTCCTCCCCCCACGTATCCTGTTTCTGATTCATCTCTGTGTTTTGCTGTCTCTCCATTTCCGTTTTTTGTAGTTTCCCCTACAGCGAGCTCTATGGCTGCTTCTCCCGTTTTCTTTCGCGGATAAAGACGTAGACTGGTGAAAATGGAGGACTCAGGATACAACCGATGTATTTATACAGTGATATGCTAATGATGTAGGGAGTGCTGGATATATTTTCGCGCATTGGGTTTGCGCATTGTCGTCCTTCTCAGTCGACTCAGCTGTGAGTCGGTACTGGCATGCTGACGTGATCGCGCTGGGGTCAAAGTCAGGGGTCAAAGTCAGGGGTCAAAGTCATCCCGCGGCTTTGACTCTGATGATAATGATGATAATACTTGCAATGATGATATTATAATGATATTTACGATAGTAAGAAGAAACAAAGAAGAATATTTTGTGTAGAGATAAAATATAGACTAAAAAAGAAGTAAAAAATATAGTTGATCTGATACATCTATAATATGCGGTTAGGGAGATTAATACCCCCCCCATCCCCCCTTCTTTTTTTCCTCCTCTCTCTCTCCCATTTTTTCCTCGGTCCGCCCTCCCTATACCTTTTGTCATTTTATATGCCTATTAATTCCCTCCCTCCCCTCCCCCTACACTCCTCCCTCCCTCCCCCCCCCCACTCCCCTCCTTGAAGTTCCCCTCATGAAATATGGCTTTGAAACTCTCATTGTCTGTCTACAATGCACCATTTTCATGCTCTTCTTAATTCTACTTTATCTTCTTTTTTCTCTTTTTTTTTTTTTTTTTTCTTTTTTTTCTTTTTCTTCTTTTATTATTTTTTTTTCTGATGCTTCTTTTATTTGTCTTTTTTGTCTTCTGTTTCTTCTTTATGTTGTTCTCGTTCTTGTCATCCTCGTTCTTATCTTTGTCTTTGTCTTCTACTTTATCTCCCTTTTCTTCTTCTTCTTCATCTTCTTTTTTATTTTTATTTTTTGTCTTCTCCTTCACCATTTTTTTTCTCTTCTTCATCATTTTCTTCTGTCGTCTATTATTCCTCCTCCTCCTCCTCCTTTTTTCCCCTTCTCCTCCTCCTCCTTCTCATTCTTCTTCTAGTCTTCCTCCTACTCCTTATTTTCATCATCACCCTCCTTCCTTCCCTCCTCCTCTTCCTCCTTCTTTCTTCTCTTTTTCTTATTTTTATTGCACTTCTTTCTTTTTTTCTCCTCCTTCTCCTCTTGCCCTTCTTCTTCTCTTTCTCCTTTTCCCTCTCCTCCTCTTCCTGTTCCACTTCCTCTTCACCCTCCTCCTTCTTCTTCGTCTTCTCCTTTTTCTTCTACTATCTCATCATCATCATCTTTTCTTTCTCTTCTTCCTCTTCCTATCCTTTTTTGTTTGTTACTATTGTTTTTGTTGTTTTGCTTGAGTAGTATTTTTTGTTTTTCTATTATTATTATTATTATCATTATTATTGTTGTTGTTGTTGTTGTTGTTGTTGTTGTTATTATTATTATCTTTATTATTACTATTTTTATTATCATTATCATTATAATCATTATTATTATTATTATTATCAATATTATGATTATCATTATTATCATTATTATTTGTCATTATTATCCTTATCTATAATAATAGCATCATTATTATTCTTATTTATTCATTGTCTCTTTCTTTGGCCTTTCTTACGCTCCCCTTTTAATTACCGAAGCTGTGCTCTATCTCATTATCTTTTATTTTAATTTTAGCACACTTTATTCATCGTCATTATCACCTTTCTCTCTCTCGCTTTCTCTCTCTCTTTGTTTTTTTTTCTCTCTCTTTCTCTCTCTCTCTCTCTCGCTTTCTCTCTCTCTCTTTCTCCTCTTCTCTCTCTCTCTCTCTCTCTCTCTCTCTCTCTCTCTCTCTCTCTCTCTCTCTCTCTCTCTCTCTCTCTCTCTCTCTCTCTTTCTTTTCTTTCTCTCCCCCCCTCTCTCTTTCTCTTTCAACCTCTCTTTTTTTCCTTTTTAATCTGGGTCTTTGTCTTTCACCATCCTCATTTTTTATAATTTCTTTTCTTCTCTCTCCGTTCACATTTTTATTGATTATTTTAATGCTCTCTTGCCCTCCTTCCTGTCTCCTTCAGAACCATACGTCCTCCTCTGATATATTGCTTCACACTCTCCTTGTCTCATTATCCCATTTCTCACTATCCTCATACTCCTCCCTCATTCTTTAACGCTTCATATTTATATCCTTTTTGACTTTCCTCGCTTCCTTTCTTTGCTTCTTTCTTATATACTTTCCTCGCTTCATCTCCGTTCCTCATTATCTGTTTTGATAATTCCCTCATAGTTCCTCATGTTCTTGTCGTTATCGCGTTTTTATTCCTTTCCCTAACGTCCTCACATTTCCTTGTCTCCTACAGATGGCGAGAACATGGCACAGAATCCTATTTTAGACTTTTTTCCTATTTTCTAAATTGCTTTCGTCACTATCTTTATTGTTTTCATTACTTATCGTCGCCCTCACCCTTCCTCAGCTCTCACCACCGTCCTCACAGATCCTGATTGCATTTCACCGCCCTCTCCCTGCCTCATTCCCTCATTTCTCCCCCGTCCTTACTCTCCTCATGCATTTCCATTCCGCCCTCACACTCTCCCTCATCTCCCCCAGACAGCTGGCCACTCCTAATTGCACTTTTCGGACACTTTACCCAAGTCCCTCATTCTTGACCGTCCTCATCCTCTCTTGTTATTACTTTGCAACTCTAACAGCAACTCATTAGTGAAAGCCGCTACTCATTACTTAATATCAATATAATCCCCACCCAATGAATATTCTAATTATACGGGCATGCATATACACGGAAATAAATGCATATCTATCAGTCTACACATGCATATCAAAAGTTTAAATAGATAGATAGATATCCATCTGTTAGATAAACATATATTATTTCAGTGTCTGTGCATGTCCAAGCACAAAATACTATTTTAGTTTTTTTTTTCTCCTTTCTAAATTGCTTTCATATCTATCAGTCTACACATGCATATCAATCGTTTAAATAGATAGATATATATCCATCTGTTAGATAAACATATATTTCAGTGTATGTGCATGTCCAAGCATAAAATACTATTTTAGTTTTTTTTCCTATTTTCTAAATTGCTTTCATATCTATCAGTCTACACATGCATATCAATCGTTTAAATAAATAGATATATATCCATCTGTTAGATAAACATATATTTCAGTGTATGTGCATGTCCAAGCATAAAATACTATTTTAGCTTTTTTTCCTTTCTAAATTGCTTTCATATCTATCAGTCTACACATGCATATCAATCGTTTAAATAGATAGATATATATCCATCTATTATATATCATATATTTCAGTGTATGTGCAAGTCCAAGCACAAAATACTATTTTAGCCTTTTTTTTCCTTTCTAAATTGCTTTCATATCTATCAGTCTACACATGCATATCAACCGTTTAGATAGATAAATATATATCTGTTAGATAGACATATATTATTTCAGTATATGTGCATGTCCAAGCACAAAATACTATTTTAGCTTTTTTTCCTATTTTCTAAATTGCTTTCATATCTATCAGTCTACACATGCATATCAATCGTTTAAATAGATAGATATATATCCATCTGTTAGATAAACATATATTTCAGTGTATGTGCATGTCCGAGCACAAAATACTATTTTAGCCTTTTTTTCCTATTTTCTAAATTGCTTTCATATCTATCAGTCTACACATGCATATCAATCGTTTAAATAGATGAATATATATCCATCTGTTAGATAGACATATATTATTTCAGTGTCTGTGCATGTCCAAGTATACGAATCTTAACAAACCGGATGTTAATCTTGAGATATTGTCCTGTAATTAGAGGAATTTCCTTCGAATTCTTCCTTTCTTTCGTGTCTCACCCTCCTTCACTATTTTTCACGGTTCTTTTACTTACTTATTTACTTATGTACTTGCTTACTTACTTGCTTTGTTTGTTGTGTTCGCTTTCCCCATTTCTCCCTCATTATTCTGAGCCTCCCTCACAATCGACGGGAATCTGATCCGATTTATTCTGGTTCTCCTTCTCATTTACCTCATTTCTTATCTTTTCCTCCCTCTTTCTTTTCTTAAAATCTGTTCTCCCCTATTTTCTCGTCTCTTTCACCCTTCGTAATTCTTATTTTAAAAGCCTCACATTCCCTCATGCTACCTCAAGGACCTCCCACTCCCTCATGATGTCCCAAAGATTTCATAGGTCCTCATGAAATTCCGAGGCTCTCACACTCTCTCATGATATCTTACAGCCCTCCCACTTCCTCATGAAACATAAGCCCCTAAAAATCCCTCATGAAACCCTTACACAAGCTCCTCCCCCTCCCTCATGAAGCCCCAAGCCCCTCCCCTCCCCCATGAAGCCCCAAGCCCTCCTCTCCCTGACGAAGCTCCAAGCCCTCCCTCCCCCGGAGCCCCAAGCCTCCGAAGCCTCCCCCATGAAGCCCTAAGCCCCAACTCCTCCCCCTCCCATGAAGCCCCAGCCCCACCCCTCCCCGAAGCCAGGCCCTCACTCCCGGCGCCCCATGAAGCCTAAGCCCCCTCCTCCCCTCCCCATGAAGCCCCAAGCCCACCCCCTCCCTCACGAAGCCCCCCCCTCTCTCACGAAGCCCAGGCCCTCACTCCCGGCGTTCCTCCCCCATGAAGCCCTAAGCC